AGTAGGAAAGCTGACGTTTCGGGCCTAGAAACATCAGCTTTCCTGCTCCTCTGATGCTGCTTGGCCTGCTGTGTTCATCCAGCTCTACACCTTGTTATCTCAGATTCTCCAGCATCTGCAGTTCCTACTATCTCTGAGCCTTTTATTTTTGCAGCTTTTTGTTTTCTTTTTAATTTCAGATGTCCAGCACGCACAGTATTCTCCTTTACAGATGCACTGATAACGTGCAGAATATGAGCTCTCATTCACTCCGCTTCTCTCATCGTCTCTTTACAACGTACTGTTGCAGATCTCACAATGGGAGGAGCTGAGAGGTCGGCAGTCGGGGATGGCAGAGTTCAAACTCAGAGCAGCATTGTACTGCGGAGGGGACGGAGAGTTCACCAGCAAACTCTGTCTGTTTGGAACACCATCCCCATGCGCCTACCCCCAGAAGGAAACATGGAACCTGAAGCCCTCGATCAAGGTTTATTCAGGGGGACCGAACAATGTCGACATAATCTGCCGGTGAGTCTTCTCCTTCAGGGATTCGGTTCTTTCAGTGCACGGGTGTAAAGAGTTTAGGACTGGAACTGTTGTTATGTCGTTTCCATAACAGCGAATCGTGCTCCGGGCTCGGAGCCAGGACATAGTGAATTGGAGGAAATTGCACGGTTTGAGAAAAATCTTGTGTTTTGCCGAATGAAAAAGAAATTTAGATCTGCACACCGGTTTGTGTCATTGCTGCTACGGTGTCCATCAAAACAAGCTCGAATACAAGAGTGGGTAGTGACAATCCTATAGAATCACAGAATTGTTACAGTGCAGAAGGAAGCCATTCAGCCCGTTGTACCTGTGCCAGTTCTATTACCCCGTGCCAAGTTCCTGCATTTTCTCCATATCCCTTGCACACTATATGCCTCAATTGAACCTGCCTCCATTATATTTCCAGGCAGTATATGCCACGCTCTAGCAACTTTTTAATTTTTTTAAATCTTTTACAGCTTCTCCCTACCTACTCATGATTAAATTCTCATTCCTGGAACCACTTGTAAATTGTTTCTGCACTCTCTCCAATGCATTCAGAGCTTTCCTATAATGTGCTATCCACAACTGTACATAGTACTCCAGTGCAGACCTACAAAGTGTTTTGTACAAGTTCAATATCACCTTCCTGCTGTTGTCTCATTGTAGAGGGGAAGACAGGGATTTATTGCTTATTGAAAATGGCTTTTGCTTATTCTGACATGTTTACACTCTTTGCAATAAGGAATGCAAGCTATCTAATTAAAGTAATTAATTACTAGATTTTCCAGACATTATAATCACTAATTATTGTAAAGGTTACATTTATGGCTTTTAGTTGTTTTAATTGGGTCAGGTGACGTAGAGATTTGGGTTATTTGCAGTCACTTCCTCATTTTAACAGAAGGAATATTGGCCTGGATTTTGTGGTAGTAGTTTTGGCAAAACTGGCCATGCTCCCCCTGCCAAATACCACTAAACTGCACATATACACGCAACCACAGAAATCCATGAGAGAAGCTACTGTCAGAGATTCAACGGTTCTTCATAGAGTTTACAATGGAAGACCCCCCCTCCCTGCAGTCAAGTGCAAATCACTGAACTGATGAGAACTTGCCCTTTGATACAATTTATCGAGATTGTAACAATCATTCTAGTCCTGTGTCTTGTGGGACACGATTGCTGCTCCACAACCTCACTGATGATTAGTTACAGCATATCAAATTGTTCCATAATTTAAAAAAAAATTCTTAATGTTTTAATGTTTACAGTACTTCAGCTTCGACAAAATCACCATGTGTGTGTCTTTCGTTTCTTTCATTCTCTGTAACATTTTAATTCAAAGTCAAGATTTAAGAGCATCCTGCTTCCTGTTTTGCTGTCAGTGAGAATACTTTGACGTGATTGACTGCTCACCTTGGTTGATTATGTCACTGTTGCTAGATGGCTGGAAATCGTCCTAGCTTGGCACCAGGTGGAAACTGACTTTATGAAAGAGGAAATCCACACCACGAAGATTGCTTGATCCCTGTGGGCTGCCTTTAGAACTCCAAAATGTGTAACACCTATGGGGTGAATTGTGCCGGACACAGTACTGATGAAGACATTCACACGTATGCAACCCACATCCATCAGAAGTAAGCAGAGTGGGAAAATCATGGCATCAATCAGTGTGCATCGTTGACTTGATGCTAGCAGTGCCAACTTGGAACTCAACATTCTAACCTATGCCTTCTGTTAACCTCACACAGAAGAGTAGGCAAGAAACAGCAGGAGGGATGTCCTCAGCAGGGCCATTTATAGGTTTAGAAAGGGACTTATTCCCTGGCTTCCGACTTCTTACTTTGGGTTTGGACTCCAGACCACTTCTAAGGGGCATTCTCAGCGGGTCATTCCCTGTGGCCAACAAGAGGTTCTATCGATGCGGCCTTCAGTTGGTGATGGGGGAGAGTGTTGTGTTGAGGGATTGGTCAGCCTCAGTGCAAGGCGCAGTGTACTTAGCAGGTTTCATAGAATCATACAATCCCTACAGTGTGGAAGCAGGCCATTTGGCCCATCGAGCCCACACTGACCCTCTAAAGAACAGACCACCCAGGCGCACCCTCCCCAGCCCTATCCCTGTAACGCCATTTCCCAGGCCTAACCCACCTAGCCTGCACATCTTTGGGCACTGTGGGCAATTTAGCATGGCCAATCCACCCTAACCTGCACATCTTTGGACTGTGGGAGGAAACCAGAGCATCGAGAGGAAATCCACACAGACACGGGGAGAATGTGCAAACTCCACATAGACAGTCGCCCGAGGCTGGAATTGAATCCGGGTCCCTGGCACTGTGAGGCAGCAGTACTAACCATCATGTTGCTGTTGGTCAGTAAAGCCGGGGACCATGAAGAGCAAGCTCAAGTACAAATGGGAACGGGGAGGAGGAGAGATCTGCCTGAGGCCTATGCTGGGACCTGGAGACCAGGTGAAGATAACTGGAATGAGCACCCAGCTGATATGGACCCATGCGGATTATTTGGACACCACATAACTTCCCCCTGAGCCTGAGGAGCCCTGTGAACCATTCGAGGTCTGGATCTGGCTTAAACAGTCAAGAGAGCCAGTAAAAGGAATGCTTTGAGCACACTGGCTCTCAATATCCTTTCTTTATTGCAATGTGACCCAACAATCCTGCTGAACTCTTTTTTTTAAAAATTAATTCATGGGATGAGGGTGTAGCTGACGAGGCAGTATTTGTTGCCCATCCCTAATTGCCCAGAGGGCAGTTAAGAGTCAATCACATTACTGTGGGTCTGGAGTAACATGTAGTCCAGACCAGGTAAGGATGGTAGCTTCCTTCCCTAAGGGACATTGGTGAATCATATAGGTTTTTCCTGACAATTGACAATGGATTCATGGTCATCATTAGATTCTTAATTCCAGATACTTATTGAATTCAAATTCCACCATCTGCTGTGGCAGGATTTGAACCCAGGTCCCCAGAATGTTATCTGGATTGACAGTCCAGCAATAATACCACTAGGCCATCACCTCCCCCTCCAGTTATGTTGGTTCTAATTATTGAACAAGCAAATACACAGCATCACTGAGTCAAGGCAATGAATTGAGCTCCCAATGGTTTTTCTGTGTTTTTGTCCTGTCAAGCAGTCGTTATCCATTATAAGATTTAAGATAAGCGTTTACATGAACTTATTGACAGGTCTGATGCCAGTAGAATAAGAGATTACTATGCTGGAACTTTTGCGAGTTGTACATTCTTAAATCTTGCGTTACACAGGGTTTATCAACAGCTTTCGAGTTAGTTGCTGATTGATTTTTTTTGTACCCTGGCAATTGGTTCAATTTTACAAGTGTTTGGTGCTATAATTATGTAAAGTTGGCAAAGGATAACACCGTGTGTAGCTGGAGGAGCGCAGCAGGCCAGGCAGCATCAGAGGAACAGGAAAGCTGACATTTTGAGTCGGGACCCTTCTTCAGAAATAGCCCCCATTTCTGAAGAAGGGTCCCAACCCAAAACGTCAACTTTCCTGCTCCTCTGATGCTGCCTGGCCTGCTGTGTTCCTCCAGCTCCACACTATGTTGACTCTGACTCCAACATCGGCAGTTCTTACAATCTCTAAGCTCTAAGGGAGTATTGTGTCAGCTACAAAATGACTAATTATTGACTTCAAGGTTTCTATACAAAGTTGTTTGCCCTCAGGCATGAGAAAGGATTCCCCTGGGAGTGCAGAATGATGTGGAGGATGAACTGAGGTCACCCAGAGCAGGAAAAGCTGCTGGAAGAGGAAGTAAGGAGGAGCAGAATTCTCAGCAGAAGGCCATATCTCTGTTCCCCCTATAACCACACCCTCCGCACCCCACCATCACAGAGTGTTCAGGAAGCCATAGTTTCTCCTGCATATCAGCAAAGCACGACGTGTGAATGTTTGCAATTTAGTAAGGATGTCCTCACTGAAATCTGCCCAAACTGCAGCCACAACGACATTCTCAATGCAGAGCAGGGACAGCCACTGCCACTTACTGTGAAGGTGACCGCAGTGATCAATCATGATGTGTCTGGCTCTTTCTAGGCTTGAGCTGGAGATATTTGCAACATCCAGCTGTTAATTGGCCACTGCTACATGAGGATTCATTTCGTTATTGATTGAGAGTTGACTAGATTTCATTCTCTACTGCTGGAGAGAAGCAGGTGGAATGTGTACAGGTTTCCTGATGGGATAGGGTACCATTGACTGGCACCACGTGCCCTATCTACCATGTACCAGAATTGAAAGAGATTCCACATGCCAACATCCAGCTGGTGCACGTCCATATGCAGTGTATCATTCAGGTCAATATTCAATATTGGGTCATAATGCTTTCATTTTGTGCCAGGCCATGGGGGTATCTGCAGCTGAGTTGCCATAGTAAATTGGCAGCATAAGAGATGGCTACATGACTTTATGGCTTTGTATACAACAGGTTGCTGGCTTGTGTAGAGAGAAAGCCATGCTTTCCACAAAGAATGTGATAGAACAGACCATTAGCATGATACTCCCTGACCTCCTCTGGAGAAGCCCTGCAAAACTCCACAAAGTGGATGGCTGCCTTGATAATGGTCTGCAGCACGCTGCACAGGCCTGCTATCGTGTTAATGATTTGGTTTAGTTGAACTGTATTTGATTGTATTTCACCTGTTGCCTAATCTATGTTTCACGGTGCTTGATTTATTAAGCCTCAGTGCAGCTGCTGAGAGCTAAAGTAAACAGAAGCTTTCAGAAAGATCTCAGAAGTTTGAGTTGTGAGTGTGTGTTTGGAAATTGTGTGCTTGCTGTGATATTTAAAAGCTGTGTAAATAAACTTGTGGCACTCTTGCAGTTCATGTTACCACTACATTGCTTGAAGCTAAGTCCAATATATAAAATACAACAAACCAGTGAAAAAAATAACTCTTACCATCATGAAAGAACACTTCTTACAACTAACTGAACCATGGAGGATCAGGAGCATGTGGACAGGGTAGAACATGAGCTGATGAAGAACGAAGAGGAAGGAGGCGACATCATGGACTGACGCTCTCGGGCTGGACCATCCATGAAGTGTGGTCCCAACAAGCACAAACCTTATTCCCCATTCACTAACAGCTCAATACCTTCCCTTCCCTTTCTGATTGAGCATCACAATGAGTTCTTGGCCACAATGCCATCAGAAACTAATCATTCCAAGCCAAATTAATGAATTAAATCATGCCATGTTACATATAGAAGACAATTGAATCAACATCGAGTGTTCCTTTAGTGCCTGTAATCAGTCTGCCTCTTCCAGTCCAAGATCTTGTATGAGATGGGACCTCAGTGACTGTATCATGGCTGCTAAAGGCAGCTGACTTTCAGCAGAGGCAATTGCATTTGACCACGGAGCAACTTTGGGCCTGGAGTATGGCTCCCAACATGCTCCAGCTCAGCATGGGGGTAGCAGTCTGGACTTTCACAGCAAGGCTACTGGCAGAATAGTGGAGGGGTGCTCGTGGTGGCCAAGTGTGTCTTCCTGCAAGGTCTCGATCTCCGTGGAGCCTGATTTGGGGAGGCACCACAACAGTCCCGAAGACTTGCTGGAGGGCAGTTTGCTGGACTTCAGTGAGAGTCTGCATACTGCTTTGCACACCGTGATCCAGGTTCCTGGCAGTCTTTCCAATGCACCATGTAGTTTGTTCCACATACCTATCAGCCTTTTTTGGAGATTTCATATGCAACTGAAGTCATCTGAATTCTTTGCTCTAGTCAGAATTCATGCATGACCTCCCATTTCTGGAGGCCATTACCTCTACCCTCTAGCTCCTTACAAAGACTGCAGATCCCTGTTGCTCAGTATCTTACCTCATGCTGATTCTACCTTTACATCTTTCTTTGGACTATAATGCATGTAGTGTCTGAGCTGGTTGCTGTGAGGGTACAATTTAGGGACAAATCTTTATGGGGAAATGTCTTTGTGGTGCCTTAATGAGGAAAGGCACAGAGTCATGTTGTGGTGTGGGGAGGAGGAGATGGGGCAAAGTAGGAGGTTCATTCTTATACCATCTGCAGCTTGTAAATCAGAAGAGCATTTGGTGAGGAGGAATTAGGATGTGAGAGAGAGAAGCTGGTGTGAGGATCCAGGAAAAGTGATACTTCAAACTCTTGTCACTGACTGCAGCCTCAGTAATGGAAATTCCAGTGATGACCAGTATCACCTTCTCTATGGGGCTTAGAATGTGCAGGTGCACCAGCATCCCCTTTGGTTAGTTCCTGTTGTCTCTGGATCTACATTTGGTACTGCAAAAGGGAGGAAAGTATAAGTAAATCTGCTGTAATCTGTCTGACATGGCTGTCAAAACCAAATGGCAGTGTGTGCAAGCTGTGAGATGTGGTTGTGAGGCTTGCAGCAGTGCTAAGTGTTTGATGATGAGGTGAATTGTATGAATGCTGGGTATGAGTCTTGGTTGAGAGAGATTGTTGTTGGTAGGTGAGTGGCAGGAGTGAGGTGCTTTGAGCATTGTCTAGATTAGTGCAGTGAAAGGACATGGCATTGGAAGATGCATGACCAATCGTGATAATTTATGTAATGTCATCTAACTTCTTATGGCACTGTATACAGATGCTCAGAACTTGATTACTGCTATTAATACTAAAGCCAATCTTTACTCAGTCTTGCGTTTATTTACAGAGTAAACCTTGCAGTTAACCACCTCTGAACTCAGTGACCCCAGTTGCAATGAATGTCTCTTTATACCTGGCTAAGTAAAACCTAAATTAACGCTGTCCCATCTGAATGAAAATTAAATACAATCAATAGAGCACTAACAATTGAGCCTCTGCTCAGGTTCTCAGTCAACCAATGGCATAGTTTCCACTGGCTGCTTGGCAAAATTATTGAAATATGCAGCAGCATATAGTTGGCAATCTGCCTGCATTGCAGAGTGTGGATTAATCAAGCATTATGATCTCCAGGTCCTTTTTCAAAGGTTATTAGCTTTAGCCCCATTATGTTTTATCTGCAATTTGCTGTCAATCAGTTTCAAGTTCTGTACTGCCTTGTTACATTTCTAATGCATTAACTTTGATGTGTTCAGTATTTGCTTTATTAAAAATTATTCTTCAGCAAATATATTTTTTGAACCTTAACAGACTTCAAGAAAAACTTCCTGTTGTTCTCCAAAATATTCCCAAACCCGGCTGAATAAAACATTGGACACAGACAGTGGAATTTTAAGGTATCAAATTATAGAAGGAATTGTTTTTTTAAAATATTCAAATTGTTGTTTTAATGTAAGATAGTAAGAAAAGTTAAGATGAGAGTAATAAGATTTGAGTGTGATGTATAAAAGGATTATGCTGACAAAACAAACCTTTTGTCTGCAAGTTGTTCATTAATGTTTTGTATTGCTTCACACAGTTAGTAAGGTGTCGACACTGTCAGCACACTCACATTTCCACCCCAGATCACAGAAAACATTTATCAGCAGAGAACTTATTCACTGAAGCCAAGATGACTACAAGGATTCAACATAGTGGGTGAACAGTAAAATGGGTTGTCTTTAGAATGTATTATTTAAATGCAATGGCTCTGGGTAATTAATCAGAAACATTTATTATCATTGCCTTGTAGGGAGCTGGTCCATGTTAAGTCAGCTGTTTATACTTTCTGAAGAATACAAATAAAACTCTCAGGACATTTAAGCATAATTCATTGAGAGAAGCTCCCAATGGATTTTGGACTAACTTGCTGACCATGCATCGGAAGAGCTTCCAAATCCATGCTTACATCATTAATTAGATGTATATGAGATTGGAGGCCACCATTTGAAGGAGAGCTAGAAATTATAGTTGTTGAGAAGACACTTCATATTAAATATTACTTGGAAGTATTGCATTTTGACGAATTGTGTAGAAAGATAGATTTATTTCAAGCTTTCTTTAGAAGAGGTTAGTGAACGTTCACTGTGGACTTTGGAATTTTTTTAAAGAGGCTTCCTGTAAATTACTTAACTGTAATAACTACTTGAAATGCTTTAGATCCCCACTGGGGATGTTCTTGGAACAGGTGAGTGACTTGGAGAGGAGCATATTTTATCTGGTTAGTTGGAGGGAAGCCTGCTAAAAACAAGATATCCGGCTGATCTGTCCCAGGGTGAAATCTATTTGTTTATTTGAAAGAATGGTTGAAAGAACATCTTAATAGTTTGTAAGATTTCAGAGACAACAGGAGTGTGTGTGTGTCTGTGTGTGTGTGTGTGTGTGTGTGTGCATTAACTGATTAAGGCATTTTTATTGAATATATTTCATTTACATCATAAACCAATACCTTTGTTTGCTGAGAAACCTGTTGATAGATCTTGTTGATTAAAACCCAATATAGTTATTTAATATAACTTATTTAATTAGTCATTTGGAATGAACTGGAAAAAGAATTTTTGTTTTATTTTGTGACTCACAGAGTAGTGGGACGAGAGCAATTGTGAGTTTCTCTACTCTTGGTTGCAACAGAATGTCGTGAGCAGCATTCCCCCCTCACCTAAAACCACTGTCAACAGATTCATGCAATTTGTTTGTTGCTTGTGAGATCTCATTACCTACAAAATTGGCTACCATGCATGCACAAAACAATGAGTTCTTTTTATCTGCCCCTGACTTTTGAGCTTTGTTGGCAATGCTAGTATTTGTTGCCCTCCCTAATTATCTTTGAGAAGGTGAACCACCTTCAGAAAGCCATTGCAGTCTGCTGCAGCTACACACACAGTACTCCTTAGGAAGAGTGTTCCAGATCCTTTGACAAAGGAACAGCAATATACTTCCAAGACAGGATGGTGTATTGCTTGGAGGGGCCATAAATGGTGTTTCCATCGATGTTCTGCCAGGTGATAGAGATCTGAAGTTTAGGAGGTACTGTCGAAGGAGCATTTGTGCAACAATATGCACAGGTATACACAGGTGTAACTCCAGTGCAAGTATACACTGGAGACAGTGAATGTTTAAGGTGGTGCACGGGGTGATGATGAAGCAGGTTATTTAGTCCTAATGGTGTTATGCTTCTTAAACGTAGGAGCTACAAATAGAGAATATTCCATTGCACTTCTGACTTGTACCTTGTAGGTGTTGGAAAAGCTTTGAGGAGTCAGGAGGTGAGTTACTTGCCAAAGAATTTACAACCTCTCACTTGCATGGTATTTATACAGCTGGTTGAGTTCAGTTCTGGCTAATGGTAACCCAAGGCTGTTGAAGGTGAAGGATTCAGCGATGGCAATGCCATTGAATGTCAAGGGAATATAGTTAGATTGTCTTTTATTGGAGATGGTTAATGCCTGGTTTCAAATGTAATCAATTGAACGTGAAATGCTTTGGGACATTTTAGGAATAGGATACTGTGACATATATATGCAACTACTTTCTAACACTTAAAAACATATTCAGAGTTAACAAGGGTGTGAAGGAGCCTTGCCCAATGCTCACATGCCAGAGACAGTCTCAAATAACAGCAGCCAATATACATAAACAAGGTTGATGACTGATGAAAATGCTCAAAAAAGGTTAGGCTCCTATTTTTATTTGTGGTAAAATAAAAGTTGCATTGATTTGAAGTTAGTGTGTAAGCAATCATTAATTATTTACTAATTATCACAATTAATAGCTTAACCATTGTAGCCTGTGTTTTCCCTACCTCTCATTTACTATAGTCAGTAGTTACGGTGCATCGACATTATTGTGTATTCATGTACTTTAAGTGGAAAGTATCACTGGCAAATGTATTGAATATAAAAGTAAAAAAAAATGACATGTTTAGTTACACTCTTCAATAAAAAGCTATTTTATGACCATTAATGTTGACCATGATTAGTTTCCAACTGGCAAGTATTGCTAGGCTCAGTTGGGACAGATCCATGTTAAAAATAAAACATGTTTTCCAAGAAAAAATCAGAGCTGTTACTTGGAGACAGTCAGGTCTGAATTTGTGCTGCTGGATAGAGTGGGGATAATTCTGATCTGGGAAAAACTGCCCAGGGAAGTCAGACTTTTGTTCCAAGTGGAGAGGGGGTGGGTGGTGGTCATTGAAAATGGGATTCATGAGCCTAACCCAGAAAGAGTTGGAGGCTGCTGTGTTCATAGAACCGTAGAATCAGTTCACGCATGGGCTTCGCAAAAGGCTGTCCTCAATAAACCAGAACTTTGTGAAGATGTGAATAAGAGACTAAATCAAAAGCTGACACTTGACCCTTATTCCCACACCCATTCCCGTGCCCCATCAATGCCAACACATGTCACCTGACCCATTCTCACAGCCCCTTATGCCCACCATGACAACCTACAACCTGCACCTGACCCCACTTCTCCATTGTTCCTATGCCAACTCCTACTAACCATTATCCCCCATAGTCACCAACAGTTGCCCAAACACCTACCATATCAACTCACTCAGAATCCATCATGGGCAAGCCTCTGGATCTATGCTGAGATTAAATAAAGTTTTTAAGTGATTATTAATGAATTCACTTTTATTTCATTGATTGGACAGGCATCCAATATGTTTAATTTCCTTTTAGCCTTTATAAAAATAAACAGTTGAATTTGTAATCCTATTTCAAAGTATATAACCATGTGGAGCTATCAATTAAACTGTAAACTCTAAGGCACCCCACTGTAACAATGAAAGGCTATGAAAGCAGCCATGCAACATTAGTCCTATAATGATAACCCTGATGTTTAAGAGATAGACTGAAGTAGCAAGCACTTTTTTAAGAGACTGCAGACAGTTTTCTCAAACATTTAAAGGCCAGGAGATCAAAATACATGTAGAGATTCACAGTTTTCTTAATGGCTATCTTGGCAGTTTTCCTGATGACTCCAGTGAACTTGACAGTTGCAATAAGTTTGTGCACTTTTTATATACATTTAACAATCCCAAAGAGGTTTTCTCTAAAGACATCTGACCTCTCCCAAAGATTTGTGGGGTGGCACGGTGGCACGGTGGTTAGCACTGCTGCCTCACAGCACCAGGGACCCGGATTCAATTCCAGCCTTGGGTGACTATCTGTGTGGAGTTTGCACATTCTCCCCATGTCTGTGTGGGTTTTCTCTGGTTTCCTCCCACAGTCCAAAGGTGTGCAGGTTAGGTGGATTGGCCATGCTAAATAGCCTGTAGTGTTCAGGGAGGTGTAGATTAGGGGGATGCGTCTGGGTGGGATGCTCTGAGGTTCAGTGTGGACTTGTTGGGCCAAAGGGCTTGTTTCCACACTGTAGGGATTCTATTACATCAACTCTTGCAAAGAGCACAAAGCCTCCCCCAAAGGAGTCCTCAGGCCATATCCAAAAGGGCACTTTACCTTTACAAAGAACTCTGGCAGCTTTGCACCACCAGGTCTAAAGTGCATGGGATGTACTTTGGACATCTCACCAGCGAAAATCAGGCCAGCCTGAGGCTGCTGTACTTTAACATGTCTGGATGCCTCTGTGACCCATAGATGTGTAAATCAGAACCTACCCCCATACCCCATCTGCAAAAAATGGTGCATGCCATGATTGGGAGTAGAGCCTCTGCTTCAGGCTTCTGCTGCCATTTTCCTAATGATGGAGAGGCTTTTCAACTACATGAACATTCAGGTCTCAAAATTTACTTTGTAAGGATAATGCATGAGTCAATATGTTTTGTAATAGCTTTTAAAAGCTTATAATAATTTGCTTTCCCTACTGACCTGAACAAAATATTACAATCATTGCCAGATGAGGGTTTGAGCTATCGGGAGAGGCTGAATAGGCAGGGCAATTGTCCCTGGAGCATCAGAGACTGAGGGGTGAGCTTATAGAGGTTTATAAAATCATGAGGGTAATGGATAGGGTGAATAGCCAAGGTCTTTTCTTCAGGGTAGGGGAGTCCCAAACTAGAGGGCATAGCTTTAAATTGAGAGTGAAAGGATGTAAAAGGGACTTAAAGGGCAACGTTTTCACGCAGATGATGGTGCGTGTATGGAATGAGCTGCCAGAGGAAGTGGTGGAGTCTGGTACAAATACAACATTTAAAAGGCATCTGGATTGGTATATGAATAGGAGAGTTTAGAGGGATATGGACCTAATGCTGGCAAATGGGGCTAGATTAATTGAGGATATCTGGTTGGCACGGATGAGTTGGATCGAAGGGTCTGTTTTATGCTGTGACTCTATGACTGTGAGTTTCAGGTTATACTTTTACTTGTGTACATAATGCAGTCCTTGAAATTGTATGTCAAGAAAGTCATTAGATATTTTTCTTATTTCAGTTCCTACAGTAGCAGATCAAGTTCTGAAATTTACAGTATGGGCAAAGGGACATCTTCCAGTGCCATTGGTGAGAATATCTGTGCTTCAGATCGATATGGTATTCATTTGGAGAGGGATCTGCAGTTAAATTTATTGGAGTCTGAAAGCAGGAGATGTGCTCTTACTGACAGTCTTAAAACAGCTTGCTGTGCATTAAAAAACCAGCGTGAGCAGATGAGTAAGAAGAATATGGAAGTGATTAATCACAGCGCAATAATTGACAAGATGATCTTAAAACAAAAGGTACAGTAAATTCACCAAAATTTAACTCTGCACTCAATTGTTTACTTTCAGAACATGAATTCATTTTTGAGCAGCACACACGAAGAAGGTGGGAGCGGAAGATTGAAGGCTGAGGATCATCTGAAATGTTAAATAAAAGTGGTTTGGTAGTACAGAACTAGAGAATAGGTGAAAAAAAAGACACGTTACTGAAGCTTCTCATCTTGCCCCCATCTGGACGAATGCAAGAATGCCAAATTTCAAACAATCACAACAATTTATTGAGGAAAGCATGCTGATTGATTAGCAAAGACATTGTCATAGAAAAAGCTAGGTTCTCCAAATGCTTCCATGATTCAATATGAGGCACAAAGCTTGAACCCATTCTTATAGTCTTGGTTGCCAGCACTATCAACTTTAACGGATAAATCCATTGCCACCAATCCTTCTTATTGGTGTTAGTCTAGTTGCTGATACCAGTTGGGGAAGGAAGTCCACAAAACATATTGCTCCAAAGATACTAAATCCTTATAAACAGCAGATATTAAATACATAGTACTTAGTAGCTGGGTGTGTTATATCTAAGATGCATGATTGATTCTTCTGAAACATTGAGCTCAACGTAAGAGTAAGCTCATGTTACTAATTTAGTTGCATGTTGTTGACTAAGTCAGAAATCACACGACACCAGGTTATAGTCCAGCAGGTTTATTTAAAATTACAGGCTTTCAGAGCGCTGCTCCTTTGTCAGATGAAGTTTTGTTGAGGCTCAGAAGAACCATTGAAGAATTGTACATCATCTGATGAACACATGGAGAACAATCCTTTAGATACTAATAAGCAGAGATTTTCTTGTAATGTCAGTTAACCCTTTCAGGTACTAACTGCCTTATACAACACACCGTTCCTTTTGTTTACAGACTATGTGTTTGAATGTATGTCTAGCAAGTGTAAGTAAGCCATGTTATGAGCTCAACTAGTTATCTTAATTTGGATGTTCATGTAACTGGTGGTTCTCTGTTGCTTTCTTCATGGCAACACCTCCGTCAACCAATCAGCACCTTTTGCTTCTGTGGTATAAATTGATGTGATTGGTTGAAGTTTGTCAGTCTTGCACTCGTCCTGATCACAAAGTGAAATGTTTTGACAAAAGGTCTGTCTCTTTAGCAATATTCAGATACTGCTAATGGAGAAAGCAGCTGGTTCCTTTAGTATTTTTATGTATGTATCTACCAAAGTGCCTGTCCATTTATATGTTAATGTATTCATCCAGGTGGCTGTGTATTTATGTATTGCTTGTGAATGAAATTACTTTTCTACTCATGTGTATCTCTTGGTGTCTCCACAGACAGAAAAACAAGGGGCAAATTTTGCCTTGGGTTTAGATCCCAGTGTCAGAACCAAATAGGGTTTCCAGCCCACACCAGCCAACAGCAGGAATAATGATACAACATAGTGGGAGGCAGCCTTCTGAATAGCCACTTCCGCACTGTCCATCCTATGAAGGAATATGTGTGGGCTCCCAGTGCAGCAGGCTCAATCAAAGGGCTCTGCAGCCTCAACAGCTCCACATGAAGGTGCTCTCACTGAGCTGCACCACAACTCAACACAATGTAGGGTAACCAGTATGTAGGGGTGGAGAGGAAATATTCTGTCAGATTGAGCTCAGCTATACTTGCAGTCTTTGTGATCAATGACGTACTTATGTAAGGTGTGATTTTTCTGGTTAGCACACAAAAAATCACTTTATCTCGGTACATGTGACAATAATAAATCAAATCAAATCAAAAGGGATGTAGAGCCAATGGCTTTGTTGATCTCCTTCATCATGCCCTTTCTGCACATGACAAAGGGCTAATCTGCCTGCAGCAATATCCTGGCAAAGCCATAATGTTGCCCCTATTGTAGTGGAAAGACAATCCAATTCACAACCTGCCTTCTGGGACAGCTCCTTTCGGGACTATCCCAATGCAGTGCTTTACCAATTTCCCAGGTCCCTGATGCCAAGGCAACCATTGCTGGTACAGGAAGTTTCAACCCAGAATTTCAGGCTGACACATATTGTACTTTATGTTGCTAATTGAATACTAGAGGGCACCCTAGTAGGAGAAAACAGACTAACAAACATTTGACTTCAATATCTCCAAATGTTACTAAGTACTTTTTTTATTATAAAAATATACTTTATCATAAGCATTACCTTTATGTACATATACAAGGTACTAAAACAATTCTGTGCAGTTTTTGCAGAGGGAAAAAATAAATACATTAGAATTTGGCACTTCTCAGGGCTTCGCTACAGTTGCAAACAAAGGCATTTTCTACTCATGTAGAACACTATTTACATTCATTCTGAGGCAATGAGAGGGTCTGATAACTGAATGGATTCTCGTTGTACTTTGGCAGAAAGTGGCAGCTGCCCCAAGCTTTAGTCTGTCCCTCAGCATGTAGTCCTAGACCTTGGAATGTGTCAGTCTGCAACACTCAGTCAATTCTGTACGCTGGAAGACCAACAAGTTTCAGGCAGACCAAAGAGCTTCCGTCATCAAGTTGATGGTGTTCCAGGCATAGTCGATGTTTGTCTCAATGTGTGTCCTGGGCGACAGACTGTAGAGCACAGAGTCATGCATCACAGAACTGCTTGGGACAAAGCTTGACAAAATCCAATGCATCTCTCTCCAGATCTTCTTTGCAAAGGCACATTCCAGAAGGAGATGTGTGACAGTCTTCTCTAGCGCAACAAAAACAAAGTTGCTGGAAAAGCTCAGCTGGTCTGGCAGCATCTGTGAAGGAAAAAACAGAGTTAACGTTTCGGGTCCAGTGACCCTTCCTCAGAACTGATGGTGGCTGGGAAAACGTCAGTTTATATGCAGAGAAAAGGGGAGGGGGATGGGGTAGGGAGTAAACGATAGGATAGAGCCTAAAGAGAGAGAAGAGCAGTTGGACAGACAAAGAGTTGATAACGATCAGGCTGGGAGGGTGAATAGTTGTTAATAGGTACTATTAGTGACTAATTACATGTGGTGTGTAATGGCAGGCTATGTGGTAACAAGGCCTGATGTGTGGGGTAGGGGGCTGGGAGAGTTTAGGCCCTAAAACCTTCTCTAGCGCGGCCACTTTGAGGGCAGCATGTGTTGGTGCACAGAGACCAGGTATACACAAAGGATCTGATGGGCAGTGCCCTTCTCGTTACCAACTAAGCTATTCCTTGGTGCTTATTGGAAAATTCTGGTGATGAGGCATTCTGCCAAATGACTCTGACAGTTCACGCAGGGAACCATATGACAGGATCCACCGTCTCCTTTTCCCGTAGGGTCTCGAGGATGTTATGCGCTGACCACTTCCAAATGGAATAGTGTTTTCTTTGCAAATTTTTCCATGAAGGACAGGTGATACAAAATGGTGCAACTACTTGGCCAGGCCCATCTTTTGTAACATTGGGGACAGGTAGAACCTGAGTATAGAGAGGTAGTTGGTGTGACTGTAAACCATTTGTCCAAATTTAAATGTTGGGATCTCCAGTGGCATGGGGAACTTGCAGGTACTGCCCTGCTGCTGTTAGGATTGAGTTCCCAGGATTTCAACCTAAGGACAAGGAAGGAAAGGTGATGTGTATCCAAGTCAGAATGATGCATGTCCAAGGGAAACTTGTAGACAGTGATGTTCCCAAAATTACTGTTGTTTAGATGATACATTGTCCAGTTGCTGCACAGTATTGTGTAGGTTATCTAAATTGTAATTATGGTGGTGGATGGAATGGTTTTCAAGACATGGTTTTGTCCTGGACGCTGTCAGACTTGTTGAGTAATGTTGAAGCAGCACTTATCCAGGCAAATGACTTGGGCCTTGCAGTTGATGGACAGATTTGGAGAGTCAGGAGGTTAAGGGTTTCAGGGCACCTGGATTTCCCAGCCTCTGATCTGCTCTTCGAGCCACAGTATTATATGGTTGGTCCAGTTCAGTGTCTGGTCAGTGGTAATCACTAAGATGTTGATGATGGCCTATTCAAGTAATCCCATGCTTTTTGATGATATGGTAAATGGCTTCCCTAATAGTGAAGTTTAATTGGAAAAAAAAATTATATAGTGGGCACAAGATCAATTGTCAACTAAACATCAATATTTGTTTAATTAATTTCTTATTATCATACCCAATTCCAAAACCATTTGATCCAGGAACTACATGCCAATCATTTGGACAGAATAAGTGAGAGAGGATAAGCTCAAATAGACATTTGATGCATTTCTTTAATTGGCAACAGACAAGATGCAGTTCATAAATGTCAATGCTATCAAAATATCCTCACTGTAAACTCTGAGGAAACATCATATAAAGTATCATAGAGTGATTACAGCTCAAAAGGAGGTCATTATGTATCAAGGTGTGGAGCTGGATGAATACAGCAGGCCAGGCAACGTCAGAGGAGCAGGAAAGCTGATGTTTCGGGTCTGGACCCTTCAGAAATGGGGGAGGGGAAGGGGACTCTGAAATAAATAGAGAGGGGGGGAGGCAATGATAGAAGGTGGATAGAGGAGCAGATAGGTGGAGAGAAGACAGACAGGTCAAGGAGGTGGGGATGACACCAGTACAGATAATTGTAGGTAGGGAGTTGGGATTGGGGTTGGTCAGTGAGAAGGGAGGGGCGGGTAGGTGGGAGGGAAGACGGACAGGTCAGGGAGGCGGGAATGAGGCTCGTAGGTAGGAAGTGGGGATGGGGGTTGGTCAGTGATGTGGGAGGAGTAGATAGGTGGGAGAAAAGACGGGCAGATCAAGGAGGCGGGGACGAGATGGGCTGGTCTTGGGATGAGGTTGGGGGTGGGGAGATTTTGAAGCTTGTGAAGTCCACATTGAGACCATTGGGCTGCAGGGTTCCCAAGTGGAATATGAGGTGCAGTTCCTCCAGCCTTTGGGTGGCATCGTTGTGGCGCTGGAGGAGGCCCAGGATGGACATGTCGTCCAAGGAGTGGGAGGGGGAGTTGAAGTGGTTCGCGACTGGGAGGTGTTGTCGTTTGTCACGAACT